CTCTTCCTCTCCTTCTCTCTGCTTGTTCTGCCTCTTCTACTTCTATGCTCATTCCTCCCTTTCCCATTCCTTTTCCCCGTTTACCCCACCTTTGACTGTCCTTTCCTGTCCCACCCTATCCCCATCCATCCACGGAGGAGTCGAGCACAGGCAGACCGCTCCCCTCTGCCAGCCTTCTGTATTATGTGGTGGCTTGTATACATGTTTTTCGCAAGGAATTTTACCTTGATTGCCCATTGTAAAAGCTACCTTGGGGGCAAGCCAGCCTTTGCGGGCGCCGGTCCAAAGCACGGATAGATAAGGAGAGTTGTGCCATCTTTTCCGGTGGCAATTAGTGTCTCGCGACGCGACACCGAAAGCTGTCTCGTGATCGGAGGCGAGACAGGCCTCTGAGCTCCGCCCATTTCTGTGACAATGGGAATGGCCGCGTTGACGGCTTGCTATTTTACTGTAATGATTATTTTTCAGATAGGTACAGTACTTTGGAATATGTGATATCCAAGATAGCTTTCGATATTTTATAGAGGGTAGTGCGGTGTTATAGATATCCAATATAAGTACGAATATGCATGAAATAGGAAGTAGGAGGAATGCATCTGGCAATTCGATAAATGTTTACCGCCTGCTCGATTCATGTTGCGTGTAAGGTGTCACTTTCCCGTAACCGCTGGAAAAGGTGGCATAGTTCGCCATGCTCAATTGTTCTTTATACTTTATCAACAACAGGACCACGTGTTTCCAAGAAGGGAATAAAAAGCCATGTCGAGTCGCATAAATAACTTTATTGGTATATAATTATCACTAATCTAATTGCTAATATAAATAGGAATGATTAAATTATCATATTTTCTGCTACAATCACCACTAGAGTTTTCTTGTAGAGCTTTTTCGATAAGAATATTAATCTGCATTTACCTGCATGTGGGCCAGTTAGATGTATCCCAATGAAATACACTATAATAGACTAAACAAAAATCTACACCAACAATAAGAAAACGGAATATATGCTGTTCCACGCAAAATCTTGTAGAAAAAAAGTATGGATTCAGAAAAATAACCACAATGCTTGGGGGGATCTCTATCAAACTCCTGGATTATGAATAGGTATCATAAAAAAGAAATCTATTTAGGTCGTCCCACCCGAATTATTCAAAATCATGACAAATATATATTTCTAAACCTTGAATGACTATCTGGAATTTTTCTTCCTTCCTCTCCCAACAGCAAATGATAAAATCAACAATCAACACAGTAAATTCTAACAATCATCTTTTAAAATCCATTTGTAATTAATCTTTTAATTCATTTGATAGTAAGGCGACTGGAATCCACAAGACAAAGTCGCTGCAAATTGTCAACAGTCAAGGGTGTGTCTGCAAAGGTAAAGATTTCAGTTACAAATTCATCCTTACATCTATTTTCAATCATCATTATTACTATTATCATTATAATTATTGTTATTCGCTGCTATTATCTTCATTATCATTATCATCATTGTTGTTGTCATCATTACCAATATCATTATCGTGGTATTTTGTATTACGTGACAATGGCTGAATATTTTAAATTAATTATGTAAAAAAAAAAATTACTTCACATTTTCATCTACATACTAATAAAATCCTAATAATATAGTAAACATCAGTCTCGTGTGGAGGAGGCTGATTACAATACAATTTGTTAATGCTAAATAATCATTATTTTGAATCTCTCTCTCTTCTTTCTTCTCTATTCTCTCTCTCACACACAAACACACACACACTGACTCTTTTCTTCTCTGTTTCTCTCCTCTCTCTCCCACCCTTCCTTTCTCTCTTTTCTTTCCCCATCCCTCCCTCTCTCTTCTCTCTTACTCTTCTTCTCTTCTACCCGCCCTCTCACTCCCTCCTTCTTCTCTCTCTCTTCTTTTTCCTCTCTTCCCCCCTCTCTTACTCTCTTCTCCCCGCTCTCTTTTTGTCTTTCTTCTCTTACTCTCTCTTTTTCTCTTCCTCCTCCTCTCTCTTTCTCTTTCTCTTCCTCTCTTACTCTCTCTTTTTCTCTTCCCCCCCCCTCTCTCTCTTAACAGACAGACACAAACGTACCCATCTGGAACCAGCCAGTTACTCCTGCATCCCCTCTGGCGCTTGCTACAGCCTGCCTCAGCGCCATGACCACTGTAAAGGCCAGGCACAAGGGGGGTTCTCCAGTCACTGAAAAAATACATACATAAGTATCGTCCTTAATCGGCTTTATTTTTGTTAAATTCCTTTCATACATAAATATCGTTTTAATCGGTTTTATTTTTGTTAAATTCCTCATTCACACATACATACCAATTTTTTATTCGGCTTTATTTTTGTTAAATTCCTCTCATACATGTTTTTAATTGGTTTTATTTTTGTTAAATTCCTCTTTCATACATAAATATCGTTTTTAATCGATTTTATTTTTGCTAAATTCCTCTTTCGTATCCATCTGTTTTGAATTTGTTTAAATTTCTTAGGATCTCTACTAAGATCTAGGTATTCTTAAGATAATCTTTTATTATTTTGTTTTTCCTTGTCATAGTAAAATTGTTAATATCGATAAACGTTACTGTTGTCTTGAATCTTTATAATTTCTACTATATATTATTATCATAATCTTTATCACCATTATCATCATTATGGTAATTATCACCGTAATCATCATCCTCATTATTACCACCATCATCATAATCATAATCCTCATCACCACAATAATCATCATTATCACATCCCCATCATATTCTACCCTATTCATTATTTTTTTTGTTTATTTATCATCATTTTTATCTATAATACTTTTCTATTGATCATTTTTCTTTATCATTTTTATCTATCATAATCTTTTTTATTTATATTTTTATATTTATCATCATCTTTTCCATTTATCATTATTTTTTACTCATTTTCCTTTATCTATCATCATTTTCTCATACATCATTATGTTTTTTATTCATCATGATCATTTTCCTTTACCTATCATCATTTTTTCCATTCATTATTTTTTCACTTATTATCTTTTTATTCATCATCATCATTTTTTTGCTCAATATCATCACTTTTTTTATTCGTCTTACCCTTGGACGACTGCACGCCCACAGGGTTAGGGGCGTCGTGGAGAAGTGCGACCCTGAAGTCCACCGGGATATCAAGGGCGGCGGGCGGGGTGTAATACTGCGAAAGAGATTATCAAAAGAAGGATGATAAAGGGGAGAAAATGGAAGAGGAAGATGGGAAGGAAGGAAGGATGGAGGGAGGGAAGAAGGTAGGATTTTTTGTTTTGTTTTATTAATGGTTTTAGTTTTATTATAGTTTTAGTATACATTTAGTTATTGCTTCGAAAGCTTGTTTACGGTGATTGTTTAATGCCCAGTGTGTGCGTAAACACGGTTACAATTTACACATTTACATACACACACAGAAACCAATTAGAAAATTGTGAGAAAAAATAAACAATATTTTTAAAAGTTATCCATCATCCACCCCTCCCCATCCACACACCATCCAATCCCCTCCCCCATCCATCCATCCATCCATCCATCCATCCATCCACCCCCACCCTCTCCCTCTCTCCCTCTCTCACCCACCCTCTGTTCCCGAACGCCACCGAAAAAAAACTCACCCAGGTGCCGTCCGTGAGCCTCCTGCCGGTGCCTGGGTCGTACAGGGGCTTCTCGACGGTGAAGAGCCCCTGGCCCATGATGTACGCTCCCTCCACCTGGCCGACGTCGACTAAGGGGCTCGTGCTCTTCCCGGCGTCCTCGAGGATGTCCGTGCGAAGGACCTGGGTACGGAGGGGAGGGAGGGGGAAGGAGGGGGAGGAGAGGGAGGAGAGGGAGGAGAGGCAGGGGAGGGAGAGAGGGAGAGGGGGAGACGAGAGAGAGAGGGATGGAGGGAGGGTTGGAGAGAGAGGAGAGAGAAGAGAGAGAGAGAGAGAGGAGAGAGAGAGAGAGGAGAGAGAGAGAGAGAGATAGAGAGGAGAGAGAGAGAGAGAGAGAGTTAAAGAGAGGAGAGAGAGAGTTAAAGAGAGGAGAGAGAGAGAGAGAGTTAAAGAGAGAGAGAGAGAGAGAGAGTTAAAGAGAGGAGAGAGAGAGAGAGAGTTAAAGAGAGGAGAGAGAGAGAGAGAGTTAAAGAGAGGAAGAGAGAGAGAGAGAGTTAAAGAGAGGAGAGAGAGAGAGAGAGTTAAAGAGAGGAGAGAGAGAGAGAGAGAGAGAGTTAAAGAGAGGAGAGAGAGAGAGAGAGAGTTAAAGAGAGAGAGAGAGAGAGAGAAGAGTTAAAGAGAGGAGAGAGAGAGAGAGAGAGTTAAAGAGAGGAGAGAGAGGAGAGAAGAGTTAAAGAGAGGAGAGAGAGAGAGAGAGAGTTAAAGAGAGGAGAGAGAGAGAGAGAGAGAGAGTTAAAGAGAGGAGAGAGAGAGAGAGAGTGAGTTAAAGAGAGGAGAGGAGAGAGAGAAGAGAGTTAAAGAGAGGAGGAGAGAGAGAGAGAGAGTTAAAGAGAGAGAAGAGAGAGAGAGAGAGAGAGTTAAAGAGAGGAGAGAGAGAGAGAGAGAGTTAAAGAGAGGAGAGAG